ATCAGAGTGATGGAGAGCCAGGCAGAGGTAATCCAGAAGCCCTCATGGAAAGTGTAAACTTAGGTGAGCATTAGAAATCCTGCTGGTGGAGAGCGGGAAATAGACTCTTCTGTGGTGACAGCACAGCTTAGAGGCAGAAGGGAGCAAACTGTTTACTTTCTAAGAACCACTTTTTCGGATTGTTTCTTCTTCATGGCCTCCTGTTTTTGTCTGATCCTGTCTTCAGTCATCCTGAGGATACCAATTAGGTTTCTTCTTTTAAATTTTTCTTATGTTTCAGTGTCTTGGTTTTTCTGATGTCTGTGACCCTTTGTTGTCTGTCCATGTTAACATGGGGAATGTGCTAGATGAGTGGGATTCTGTGTACATGAGTGGAGTTTGTCAGCTGGGGCGTTTTGAGGGGTAGATGAAGCTGCTCTCAGGCTGGGCCAAGTGGAAGCCTTCCCTCTGGGCATGGCAGTTGCTTACCTGATTTTCACCAGAGGCTCCACTTATCTGTTTCAGAGAAGAGGCCACCGTATTGTTCTCTCCACTGGGGTAAATTTATGGCTGCAGGTACATCTGCAGGTGCAGGGGATGGAGTGGTGATGTCAAGGGAAAGAGCAGGTCTGGGAGAATGCAGAACTTCAATTGCTCATCCCCTTTCTACTCCACTCATGACTCCCGGGCACCATCACCTGCCATCTCTGATCAGGAGCCTTTCGTGAGTTCTAGAGTGCAGGCACCACCCCACCCTCCATTTCAGCCTCCCATTGCTCCCTCCTCGGGCCAAGCCTGGCCAGGCAAGGTAGAGAGACAGTCTGGCATGCAGTCACACATGCTCTGTCTGACCTCTCGGGCTTGCTGTGGGTTCTAAGATTGTCATTTACTTTCATATCATACAAACCCAACTCACTGAAGCCAAAGTCATTTCCCTACACAAGAATAGGAGCCTCAGCCCTGAAAGGTTATTATCATGTAGACAATGCCCAAGAGGTCCAAGCCAGTGGGGAGACTATGTCTAATACGTTCCATAAACTCTGGCAGGAAATTTACTAAAATAGTATTTACTAGCATTTGTTAAATCACTTACGAACCAGATCCTTGTGGGGTTTCTCACTTTAAAAAAAATGCGTTAGATAAATTTTTTAAAATACACAAATAAAAAATGAACATGTTCATAGATGTTTCACTTTCTACGTAACATCACAGCTTAGCCACCATCACAGTATTTCTCCAAGGGAATCGGCAGTGAGAGGAGGCTCAAGACATGATCCCAATCTGTTAAACAGGTCAGTGGGTGAAACCAAGGCCCCTTTGGTCATGTGCTCCCTCTCCAGTTTCTTTAGCCAGGGTGATTTTTTTTTTTCTCCAGTTTCCAAAATACAGCTCTTCATGAAGCAACTCTGCTTGGCCTGGCAGGAAGGGAGTGCATCGCTGCCCTACTGGGGTAAGTTCCCTGGCCTCTTAGGGAGACTTGAGGGCCACAGGGATCCCCCTGCTGACCTGGGGTGATTTCAGAGGGCCGTGGTGCCTGGATATATAGTTAATCCTGTGAATTGGGGCCACCATCTCACCATGGCTTCCAGGCACTAGGGGCTTTTAAATGCACAATGCAAATGTTGTCCCCCTCTTAAACATACTTGGTTGTAGGACTTTGATGCAATGGAGACCAATAGCCAGGATTTGCAATTGAACATTTGAAATCAGAAAGTTCCCCAAAAGGTCTCACCCTTGTGAGAGACACCCTAGAGACTGGGGATCATGGTGGCCTCTTGGGGACAGGTTTGAGAAGGTGGGTCCAGGAGGCTCCCAGACTGGCCTTTGTGTCAGGGGAGAGCCAGGCCCTCAGGTCCAAGTGCCCACGACCTTCAGTTCACCCCCATTCCCTTCCCAGATGCAACGCAAGCATCCAAAAGAAGAATGCCAGAGGCCAGACAGCCCACGACCTGGCTCTGGCGATTGGGGATGACCTCATCTCCTCGCTCTTTGCAGCTAAGCTCGGCCTGGACGAGTGTTAGACCCGAGGGCCTCCGCGGGGTGCACTGAAAGAAACCATCCAGCTCTGGCTGTTCTTTGTTCGTTTCTTACTGAAATGTGTATTTGAGGTTTGGGAGTTGAGGTTAAGGGGAACTCTTAAGCTTTTTCCTTTTTTATATGTATGTATATTTTGTTCTATTTATTTTATTTACACTTATGAACATTGGTATTTTGCTAATGAGCTCAAAGATTGGGCATGTTGAATTCTCTTTGTGGCAGCTTATGTTATTCTATAACTTGGATGAATCAAACACAGAGTGTGGTTTGAGCACTTTAAATAATATAATAACTATCAGTTATTTTTATTTTTTATCTTTTTTATTTCAGAGAGGAAGGGAGGGGGGAGAGAAACGTCAATGATGAGAGTTACTGCTCAGCTTCCTGCACGCCCCCTACTGGGGATCGAGCTGCAACACAGGCATGTGCCCTGGTTCATAGGTCACCGCTCAACCACTGAGCCACACCAGCTCGGCCTACCTTTATTGTTGAAAGTATTACAGATGTCCCCCTTTTTCCCCCATTGATCTCCTCCTCCCCGCACCCCCCTCCCCCAGGCCTTCACCACACTATTGTCTGTGTCCTCGGGTTATGTGTATGTGCATGCAAGT